GGGTGAGAAGCAAAGAGGACTCGGGATATCTTAAAACTGTACATCAGCCAGGAAGTCTTTTTTAGCATGAGTTTATGTTTCAGTCAAGGACTTCCGTAAGTCGAGAATGTAACATTGTAAAGCTGGATTTGACTATGTGTTGAAACACTGTTATTGTTACCCTGAAAAAGATGTTTCTTGATTTCTCTTTGCCGAACCTGAACCATATGGCAAGTTAGGGGCTGGCTGGTTATTATGGACCATCAATAGCTCCCAAGAAAGAAACCAATAGGGGGGTGAGTTGAAAGTAGAGATCAGGGAAGAAAGATTTGAAGGAAGCGGTGGTTACATTGGTAGAAACATGCTGGGAGGGGGTTGGGACCCTCAAGCTAAGATATAAAGTAACAGGCCATCCTGGAAAGTCCCTCTAGAGTCTTCATTAACCTGGATCCTCTTCCTGCCTGCATGGCAGACCTCTGTAGGTGCTTGAATTCACTGCCGAATCCCCAAATGACTTGAGGGATGGTGTTATCTGTTGAGCCATGTTCCTAATGTAATGCTGATCAACACACCTGGCCATCCTGCCCAGCCTACATGTAATCTAGATTCATGTTTTTTCACTCCCATGCTATCAATCCTCAGTGTAAATTTGGCTAAGATTTCCCTTAACTTTTGGGATTGATTACATTATCTCTCTGCCCCCTCTCAGAGGGCAATATTGTGTATAAAGGTCTTCCCAAACTGTTAAATGATTAACAGTGACCTGGACTGTTGAACAAGGTTGGAGGAAAGCATTGGCCTTTATTTTGTAGGTGGGAGGCTAAGATGCAAGTGGAGAATGGGTTTTCAAGGAAAGAAAAAGCACACAAGGAGACTTGCAGGATTGGGAGCTGTTTTTTTGTTTGTTTTGCTTTTGCTTTTTTTTTTTTCCTGTAGAGGTTCATTGACATAGGGGAAAAAAATACCATGTAGATGAAACGCAACTTGAGTGTTTTATTTTGAGAGATCTCACACCTATTGGAATAATGGTAGGATCAGGCCCTTTGACACCAGATAGACATGAGTTCAGTCCCTAGTGGCTGCCTTTCCTGGTTGTGTAGCCTTGGCAACCTAACCTCTCAGTGGCTCAGTTTCCTCATCAGACATAAAAGACCATATGTTTATCTTAAGTCACTCTGAGGATTAAATTAGATACAATTTGCGAAAGTTGGTGCTATTAGGCATTTAATAAAGGCAGTTTCCCTTCCTTCTTTCTCTTCTGCTTTTAAAAATTAAGATTTGGGCGCACTATAAATAAAACAAATAATAAAAGGTATTTCAGGGTGGAATTCAGGCCAGTTAAAGGTGAAAGGCCAGAGAATGCATGTGGGAAGAAGCCGGAAGTGGGCAGGTTCACCAACTGTGCAAATCCAGCAGGCTTTGGAAGGTGCAGCTTCACAAAGCAAATAAAAAGCGTTCTTTACATTTAAAAAAAAAACAGACTTAACAAAAACATCGTCAGAGTCTGTTAGCCAAATATTTCAGGCTCCGTCTGGAAGCCCAGGAATTTTGGAAATACTACCCTTTCTTCATTTCAGTGGTAGAAACCTCAAACTTCCTGCTGTGGAAAGTGGGGGTGGCCACTGTGTTCTTTTCTTTCTTTTTGGTTTTTTTTTTTTTTTTGGGTCAAGAGCAGGATTGTTTCTTTCTCTGGATGGATGCTGCCATCTGATGTCTCTAAGTGGCACTGTGGCTTCACTTCTAGCTCAGCGACATTAAACTGAGGGTTTGAGATTCTTGTTTCTGGCTTGAGGCTTCGAGGATGGTGGTAGGTGACTGAGTTTTTAAAACCAAATTAGCACCAAATCAGCTTGGACATTTTTTTTGGTAGTGGTAAAGAATTTACTCCTTACGTTTTTATTCCTTTTTATGACATACATAGTAAAGCTTTCCAATAGAGTGTTACTAAATATAAAGTCACCAGACACCTAGAGAGGAACTGTAGGATGCTGCGATTTTGACCTTTTTCTTATCTCTTTGCTTTCTAGGGAATTCACTCTCTGATTCTAGCCCTTGAAGCTCTGAGTAAAACACTGATAAAAATGTGCCAAACCCTTTTCCTCTGTATTTGCGGCTTTATTCTTATCTTTTAAACTTATTTTTACCCTTCACGTTTCGTTATTGTGGAGATGTTTGCTGAGCATACTTTGCTGGGATAGTTGGGAAGGAGGCCAGGAATCGGGAGACGAGAAGACGGCATGGGACCCAAACGAAGCCCCGAGGTACTTCTGGACAAGGGTGAAAAGTAAAGAAGGTTTATGGAACTATTCAAAGAAAGTTTGAACCCATAGCTATGGTGCAGTTTTCTCCTGGCGTGGGTGCGGCCAGGGGCAGAGGGGTGGGAGGGAGGAGAGAGGCCGCTGGAACAGTCTCTGGAAATGCCAAGCTTAATAGACGGGGGTGGAGTTAGCCTAATGGGAATTCCAGGTAGGGAAACAGTGTTGGTATTGAGCCTATGAAAATCCTAGTATTTTACACCTGTCACAGCACCGGGGATATGCTCTGTACAAATCAGTTCCTCCACTAAATACTGACTGGAGAAGTGAGTTACGAGGGAACAGAGGACCTGGGGCAGCAGAGATTCGGAGTGTGCTAGGGTACCGAGAGGGAATGAGCCGCAGGGTGGCTGAGGAGCTCCGAGCGCTCTGGAGAAGGGGCAGCGTGAGTTCGCAGGGTGCCAGGTCTGATTCTTCCCCTTCCGCCAGCAGACCCAGCAGGCCTGGGAGCAGCTGTGCCCCCTGGTAGTGATCCACCCCTCGAGCCCTGTGCGGATGCGAGGGATTCTGGTTTCTGGGGGTGAAGGGACTGCAGGGTTCTGACCTGTTGTTGGGTGACCAGTGGAAGTCAGTTCTTGGAGAGGAGTTGGTGGGAATGAAGCTGCTGACAAGGGCAACCAGTAGCCTGAGGACCCGGGGAGGGAAATAGGAAGGAGGGTATGTATGCCTGGGGTTGTGAGCACAGAGATTGACCCTCTGGTGCTGGGCAGTACCTTGTGACCCAGGTCATGACATGGACAGCAGAGATGGAAGTCAGTGGAGTCCAAGGAGGTGAGAATAGGGAAGTAGAGGCCATAGGTCACAGGCCCCAGGCAGAGGGTATTTGGAAAGAGGAGGGGGAGCATGGTGTCATCCTAAAAAAACACAGACTTTGAAGTCAGTAGGTCCTGAGGGGCCCTGATTTGGCCTTTTACCCTGACCTTGGTCAAGTCTTTTAATCTCTCTGGGTCTTTGTTTTTTTGAGAACAGAATAAGGATGGACACTAATGGTACCTGTGGAATGAGAGAATGCCAGTACCACACTTAGGGTCTGGCACATAGGAAATGCTCTTCAGTGTTAGGTATGAATACAATGTCTACACATAAATGAGGTGTTAAGAGGTGAGCTGTCCAAATAACCTGGGGGTTATATCTTATTACCTAACGGGGTGGGGGCGGGGGGAAGGGATTATTCATCATCTTTTTAAGAACAGGAAAGTTAGTCTAATACATAATTATTTAGAAGCCTGTGCCCAGAGGGCTTCTACTGGACCGTCCTCATTGCTCCTTGAAGGTTGATAAGGGGAGTATTAACATTGTGACTTACAGATGAGGAAACAGGCTCTGAGTGGGGTCCACAGTGCAGCCTGAGGCAGATCTACTGTGTTTTCCCTGCATCCTGCTTAGCAGGGAGGCTGTGGATCAGGGGTGGGATTTCCCAAGAGCAAGCTCGTTGACTGTTTTGAATCTCTGAGGTCCCATAAGATTGACTTCCTCTTTTCTGGAATGGTGTAGGCACCTGAAGGTCAAGGGGTGTCCCCCCCCCCCAACACCCCGGCCCTGGGGCTTAGAGAGTGCTGGCTGGTTAGAACCCCGCCTCTCAGGCAGGGAGGATTTTGACTGAAGGAGGATCACACCAAGCTTTCTGGTGTTGTCTCCTTCTTAGCTCTTCCCTATAAAATGCAGAGGACAGCGCTCCCCAGTGCCCTGCTTTCTGGAGTATTATGCTTGGGGGTGAGCTGATGCCTCTGAGCACGCAGAAATGATGTGTGCGGTTTCCAGAGCAGCTCCTGTCCATCGTGGGGTGACCGTGCAGAGGCCTGGAATGGTTCTCCTTGGTCCGTGTCAGGGCTGTGGTCCTGCATTTCCATCAGCCCTGAATGCTCAAGTGGCCTAAGCCCGGAGCCTGTCGGGGGCAGGGTGCAGGCAGTTGGGAGGCGCTGAGAAGACCTGGGTTTGGAGTCAGGAGACCAGACCTCGTTCAGGCTCAGACACCAACTACCTGTACCGCCAGGAGTAAGTCGCTTAAACTCCCCACATTAGTTCCCTCAAGTGGAAAACAAGGAATAGTTAGCACGGCTCACTTCTGTGGCTGTTGGCAACTTTGAAGCCCGCTGAGCTTGAGAATCTGAGTGTCTGACAGACCCGCTCCCGCTCTGACTTAGTGCTGTTGTAATAGCATCCTGACCCGGGAAGCGGACGTTGGTGTGTGTGCTGAGATGCTCCTTGCGGGCAGAGCAGTTTCAGCAACACAACCCTGGGTACAGCCCTCAGGAAGAAGAATAAGGAGTTTGTTAAATTTGCAGCGATGCATCCGCCTAAGAAAACACTGTGTGACTTATAAAAGTATGATTGTAGAATAACATGTAATGATACAGTATAACCCACACAGGATACGTGTAAATTCAGTTTACCAAACCATGATCCCGTTTTTGTAGAAATAGAAATATATAAATCTGTGTGTAGAAGAAAGCTTGCAATGCTCTATAGGAAACATGGGTATCTGTGGGAGGCTGCTTCTTGAGGGATTTGTTTTTCTTTGTGCTTATCAGTACATTCTAAATGTCCTGCTAGTAACAGGTATTACTTTTGTAAAAAGAAGAAAGTTGTAAAAGTTAAAGATGTTTCATCCTTTTTAATGGACACTCACGGGTTCCAGCTGTGTGTAGGGCCTCCTGATGCCTCCAGATACAGGATAAAGGACTCTGTGTTCCCTTTGCCTCCCAGGAAAGGCAGCAGCATGGCCAGCGTTCTGTCCCGGCGCCTTGGCAAGAGGTCCCTCCTGGGCGCCCGGGTGTTGGGGCCACCCGGGGCTGCCCCACCCTTGGAGCCTCAGGCAGAGCTGCTTGAGGGGGCAGCTCCCCAGCCCTTCCTTGCCTCTAAGGACACGTCCTGCCAGGAGCAGCCCAAGGAACTCCTCAAGGCTCCAGGCACCTCAGGCCTCCAGCAGGTGGCCTTTCAGCCCGGGCAGAAGGTAGGTTGATCCCCAAGTGGACAAATGTCTGATCTCTCCAGGCTTGCGTCTGGCGGCCCAGTGGTGCCCTGAGTGAAACTCTCTGGGCATGGGCTTTAGCACAGACATTTTCCCTGCAGCCATATGAGCCCTTGGGCAGCAGGCTTCCCAAGGGAATGAGCAGACCCAGGGCTCCTCCACAACAGTTCTGGGCTCAGGCCGGTTCAGAACCTCAGTTCAAAGCATGGCCAGAGCTGTTTCTCTTAATCTGTCTCAGTTTGCAACTTTATAAAAACAAGGGAAAGAATCTCAGACTTACAGGAGACAGATAAGATTGCATCTTTGAATTACCTTTAGATGTTTGCAAGAGATGTAGGTGTTTGTTCAGTTGGAATGCCATTTGGAGTCCCTTTTCCAGTGTTTCCTCCCCTGTGGCAGGGCTCAGGCATCACCTGTGCCTGATGTTGGCACTAGATCCAGATGCATGGGCTTCTCCTTCATTGCCTTCTCAAGAGCTGATAATAGAGGCTCTGCTTTCTGCCTCTGTTTCAAGGCTTGTGTCTTCCAGACATCTCTTCCCATGAGGTGAGGCCACCTGGCAACTGCTAGGCACCCTTGAAAGCAGTCAGCCTACTTCACCACTACCGTCGTGCTCCCAGGTAGACTCAGGATGCTCTGAAGGGAAAAATGCAGGGTGTGAGCAATTCAAGGCGATAGCTGGGGACCAGCAGATATATAGGACTTCAGAGGCTAGTCAGGGCAAGAAATCAGGAGGGAGGGACACAGATTCCAAACTCGTTTGATTTGAGAATTTAATCTGTTTACATTTAAAGTAATTAGTGATAGGTAAGGATTTGGTATTGCTATCTTGTTAACTGTTTTCTGACTGGTTTGTAATTCCTTTGTTTCTTTCTTCTTCTCTTGCTGTCTTTTTTTTGTGTGATTTGTTGATTTTTTTTGGAGTCCGGTGCGTTGATTTCTTTATCTTTTGTGTATCTCCTAGAGGTTTTTTTCTTTGTGGTTACCATGAGGCTCACAGAAAACATCCTATAGTTATAACAGTCTATTTTAAGATGATAACAACTTAACTTTAATTGCATATAGACTCCAAGTTAAAAAAAAAAAAAAATCCCCGAAACTGACACCTTTGCTCTCTCCATCTAGAGAATTTATAAGGATTTGTTTTGGGAAGAACCAATCCACTGTGGCTAGTCTGGGTGTTCAGGTGGGAAGCAGGTACCTGGGAGCACCTGCTTGAATTAAAGATGAGTCGGAGAATGCAGTTTGTGGCATACGGCTCCTGGCTCCCAGAACTTGGGTCATATGGAGTGAGAACTCCCAAGTGCTGACCACTGGTTGCTGTTTTTCTCTCCCCAGGTTTGTGTGTGGTTTGGGGGTCAAGAGTGTACAGGACTGGTGGAGCGGCATAGTTGGGCAGAGGATAAGGTGACTGTCTGGCTGTTGGACCAGAAGCTACAAATCTGCTGCAAAGCGGAGGAGGTGTGGCCGGCTGAGCTGCAGAGCCCCATCCCCCAGGCGCCACCTCCCGAGCAGGGAACCCAGGCACCAGCCTACAGGCCTGTCTCCAGGAACATTGATGTCCCAAAGAGGTTTGTGTGACAGAACCTGGGCTCTGGAAGACACATGGGTGGTGAGGTATGGGGTTTGGGGATGTCTTGTGTTGGGGAAGGAATGTGGAACAACCAGGTGTCTAGTAGTCAAGATATCGGACAAATGGGATACAGTGAGAGGGCATCCTTTTGAAAAGACCCAGAAGGGCGTCTTTTCTTCCCTGTAACTCTGTTATGGGTGATATAGCTTTGTCTGGCTAAGGGCTATTTTTTTCCCCTTTCATGCTCAAACTAAAATTAGGTCTTAGTTTTTCATGATGAGAGAGAAAAAAATGACTTAGATCAGGAGTCAGCAAACGTGTTCAGAATGGGCCAGAGAGTAAATAACGTAGGCTTTGTGGGCCAAATGGTCTCTGTCACAGCTGCTCTGCTTGGCTGTGGTCACGTGAAATCAGCCACAGATAGTATGTAAACAGGCGGGCGTGTTGTGCACCAATAAAACCTTACTTACGGACACTCAGATTTCAATTTCATGTCATTTCCATGTGTCATGTCAAGAAGGAATATTCTTTCGATTTCTAAAACCATTAAAAAATTGTTAAGCCATTCTTAGCTTGTGAGCCAGGCTAAAACAGGCGGAAGGCTCAGTCCAGAGATTGCAGAGCCCTGGCTAGATATTTAAAACTATCGATGCTGAATGAAGAATGCTTACTTTGCTTTAAAAAAATTTTTTTAAAATTATGTTTACTTTTCTGGCCACACCGCACAGTATGCAGGATCTTAGCTCCCGACCAGGGATTGAACCCGCGCCCCCTGCAGTGGAAGCGTGGTCTTAACCACTGGACCTGCCAGGGAAGTCCCTGCTTTAGAATTTTATGACATGATTTTTTTCCCTGAGAATATGTATATTCTGATTTCTATGTTATATACTTTATGCACATTTAAGATTAAAAAAGAAAATCTGCCAATGAGATTCTTTTCTTTTTTTAAAAAAAAAATTTATTTATTTTTATTTATTATTTTTCACTGTGTCGGGTCTACGTTGCTGCATGCGGGCTTTCTCTAGTTGCAGCGAGCAGGCGCTACTCTTGCGGTGCGCGGGCTTCTTATTGCGGTGGCTTCTCTTGTTGTGGAGCATGGGCTCTAGGCATGTGGGCTTCAGTAGTTGTGGCACGCGGGCTCAGTAGCTGTGGCTCGCGGGCTCTAGGGCACAGGCTCAGTAGTTGTGGCACACGGGCTTAGTTGCTCCACGACGTGTGGGATCTTCCCGGACCAGGGCTCGAACCGGTGTCCCCTGCATTGGCAGGTGGATTCTTAACCACTGCGCCACCAGGGAAGCCCATGCCAATGAGATTCTTATATACAGGATGTGTAAGCAGTTGAGCCCTGCCCCCTGCCCCATCTGTGTTTGTCTGTGAGTATTATTGTTATTGACAGTACACCCCGTGTCTTGAGACCAGACCAGAGCAACAACATTTGTGATTGTCAATTCAATGGAATACTGGCAAGGAATTTGTCTTTCCATTCTGTGGAAATAAAAATACAAATAATCCTATAAAAAGGGGGATGCCGGGCTTCCCTGGTGGCGCAGTGGTTGAGAGTCCGCCTGCTGATGCAGGGGACGTGGGTTCATGCCCCGGTCCGGGAAGATCCCACATGCCGCAGAGCGGCTGGGCCCGTGAGCCATGGCCGCTGGGCCTGCGCGTCCGGAGCCTGTGCTCCGCGGTGGGAGAGGCCAAAGCGGTGAGAAGCCCGCGTACCGCAAAAAAAAAGGGGGGGGGATGCTGACACATTTAATACATTACTGGTTTTCGTTTAGCTGCTTCAAGCCCAGTCGTATATTTTAGTGCATCTGAATTGTAAAGAATGAATTGTATAATACAGTCCTTTGAAATAGAGGAGCCACCTAGAAATTTATTTCAGACGGACTTTTCATACTTTAGCATTAACTTATAGATAACTTTAATTTTATTTCCAAATAATGTAACTTTATATGGATTAAAAAAATTATGTGTGAAACTTTATAGAACTCTGCTGTATAAAGCATTGAGATTTGCACTGGAAGATTTATTTTAGTATTTCTGGGTTTTTTGCTCATTGGCTTATGTACCAGGTTCTGTTCACCTTCAGAAGCTATCACAATACCTCATCATTAATCTTGGGGGGAGGGGAAGGAATTGGTTAGTGTAATTGTTCTCTCTTAACTTTAAATATAAAACGAGGAAAGGAAGGTAATTTTGGTGATTTTGAATTCTAGCTGGCCGTCTTTTATGCCCATGCTTTATTTCATTGCTTGGACTCATTTTCCTTTCCCCCAAATAAAACTCCTGATTTTAAGCTGCAGACTTAGAGTTAGGAAGGGAATTCAAGGGAGAGTGGAACTGCCTCCGGGTGTCAGCAGTGGGATGGGGACCAGCCTGCTACTGTGGGGGCTGACTGATATTATCAGTGTAGCTCAGAATTGAGTCTTTTTCGTGAAGAATGAAGAGAGGTCTGCATGCTTTATGTAACAATATTACTTGAGCACACACTGACTGATTGGAGTCGAGGCGTGGAGGGGACAATCTAGGAATGTAAGATGCTCACGTGACCAGCTGTGTTGGGAAGTAACCTTTGGCTCTCACCTGTCTGAATCCAGGAAGTCGGATGCAGTGGAGATGGACGAGATGATGGCAGCCATGGTGCTGACGTCCCTGTCCTGCAGCCCTGTGGTGCAGAGTCCTCCTGGGGTTGAGACCAACTTCTCTGGTGAGGAACGGGGCACAGGTGGGTTCTGGGTGTGGCAGAGGCCCACGACCGACCTCTTCTGCTTTGGGCAGATAATTGCCTAAGTCGCTAGCCTGGCAGCAGGGTTTCTGGAGTCTCTTCTCCCTGGCATCCCAGAGTGGCTGAGTGATACAGAGTTAGCCGCTTCCATTCTTTTTCCTCAGTTTCCTCCTCTGGGGAGAAGCTTCCTGGTGCATTGTGAAGATGATTGAGCATGGGACTGAGCCACACTGGCCACTTGAGTAAGTTCTTCAATGGGAGTAAGCGAGCGAGGCACTTGTGGGGCTGAACATGGCCAGTGGAGGAACATTGAGTTCTAAAGGTAGAAACTTACCAAATGGTCCCCTAGTGGCCTCAGCCGATTCACTCCCCCGTTACAAGTGCCTGATTCAGCCTTGTAAATTAGTTTGGAACAAATGAGCTGAAGTCTAAAATAAATCTAATTGCGTAATACAAATCGATAGACTTCACAGCAAATTTATAAATTAAAAGAAAATTCTAGCACAACCCCCAAAATGCATCACGAGTAATATGGGAGGAAGGAGGGTTGCTGGATATTAGTAGCTTGATAAGACTGGTAGTGAACCTGAACGGGTTTTTTTTGAAACTTGTCATCAGGCTGGCCTAACTTACTCCCAGGGAATAACTTTTTCATTGGTGAGATCTAACTGAATTGTGAGCTTCTTAAAAGCTTATAGGAAAATACGGAGTCAGCTCTGAACACATACCAGGAGGAAAGTGGCCTTTATAAGCATCCCTCATAAGTAACCTCCCTACATAGAAAATCAATTTAAGGGGGTGATAAGGAAGACTTACTTGTTTCACCCAAGGCCTGTCGTCAATGGCTAGGCTGCTAGGGGAAGCTATTGCAGTCTGACGGTACCAGTTGTGAGGCAGAGCATCACACACCTGCTCTGTGAGCACCTGGGGGCCACACAGGCGACGCAGGGAGGAAAGGAGTCAATCTTAAGTTCTTAGGAAACTCTACGAGTTTAGGAGATGCAGGAGGTTGGTCAACAGGAAGATCCAGGAAAGTGTCATAAAGGGAAAGAAAATCATTGACTGCAATTCCCATTAGGGTGTGTGTGTGTGTGTGTGTGTGTGTGTGTGTGTGTGTGTGTGTGTAATCCATCTACCTATGTTCATACACACATCCCAACACCAGCATATACGTATCTTAACTGATAATATGCCATGATATCTTAAGTCCCCTTTGATAAACATTTTTCATTGTCTATCAAAGACTTTTTTCCCCATTACAGTATCTTTAAAAAAAAAATTGCAGATTGATTGATTTGGCTGCCCCCGGGTCTTAGTTGCCGCTCGCAGGATCTTTAGTTGTGGCATGTGGGATCTAGTTCCCTGACCAGGGATTGAACCCGGGCCCCCTGCATTGGGAGTGTGGAGTCTGAACCACTGGACCACCAGGGAAGTTCCAGTATAGTTCTGATCTGACGTTGACGTCAGTGGAGAAATAAGGCCCCCTTGGCAGCTAATTATGTTGACGTATTCTGCAAGGTGAGGTCTCTACAACAACCAGAACCTTGCTCTAATCGTGGATACTCTTTGTGCAGAATCCACCCATTCCCTCTGGTCTCTGTTGTTAGGATGGCTCTGCATGGGCGTGTAGAGAGCAGAGGGGATTACAAGGATTTCTTAGAAGTCCACCATGCGTTTGCAGGGGAGCACTTTGCTTTCATGCTCTGTTGACCCTGCCCTAGAAAATCTTATGACCTAAGGTAGAGCGATTTATGTTCCTCTTACAAGGTATAGGTTAACTTATGAGATTCACTTTTTGCTTTGTTTTGTATTTTTCCTTGTGTGCCAATTCGCCAGTGTCGTTGTTGAGCCATCTGAATGGTTCCTTGGTGGAAGGCTGCTGTACTGTAGGGCGGGCCTGCTGTTTCACCTGCTGTCTTCTGTCCTGATGCTAGATGTAGCACTTCTGCTCCCTTGCCCTTCTCTCCCTGATAGGTTTCTTGAGTGGACGTGTGCAAACCCTTGACCTGCTGGCGGCTCCTGAGATCTTTCCTGAAGGGCTACTCTATTTTTAGCCCCATGTGTAGATGTCGTAAACTCTTGGTTTCCAGGAAGTCATTGCTTTGAGACTTGACAGTGACACTTAGGAAGGGCAGAGTTCATCTGTCCCCTTCTGTTTGGGTGGGCTTTTCCTAGCGTGTGAGACTTAATTAAGGAGAGCCTGCGTTGGAAACACGAAATGCTGGGCATCTAGATTAGCCTAGAAGTGGTTTGGAATATGGAGTGGGATGAGAGAAAAGCAGTGGGATGTTTATCCTGGCCACAGGGGATGTGGTAGACCATCTCAGAATCCAGGGTAAGGAGGCTCCGTGGAATGCTGCCCATGTTGGGAGTTGGGGCTTTTGGGGACAAGGCCACCATACCTGCATGTGTCACAGTTTTCCCCCCTTTTCTTGCTATTTCCACATATCAAAATTTCAGATTCTCCTATAGTAAAAATTAATATGGATTTATGGTCTCGGCATGGAAGAATCTGGGTCGGGCCTAAAGCAGCCCAAAGAAACGCAGCTTAAAAACTGAAAATTTGACATGACTCACCTGTGACCTTCCTGTTCAGACGCATTGCTGGGAGCAGGGCAGCGGGTTTAGGCCACGTCGGCTGTGTGGGCCTCCTGCCATCTTGTGATGAGTCTGAACTGCTCTCAGAGCTCGTCTTTCCTTCTCTAAGCGTGTTCCCTGTGGATAAAAGAGGAGCCACCTGGGCCACAGCTGGATCTGGTAAAGGCTACACCTCCTGACAGCTGCGAGAGCTAGCTGGATGGTTTCTTTTCACATGCCGATTTTGATGTACTTGCCTGGGTTTAAATGATCAAACAGGCATTTTTCAAGAAAGCCTGGTTAACAAGCCCTTAACCTGGCCTCTCCATCCTACTCTGCTGCAGGGAAAGCTTCCCAAGTGGTACCCAGCCCGCTTGTCTGTGCTTGGGAGGGAGGCAGGAGAGGCTTTGCCCCTCCCCTGTCCCCGCTCTCTCCCTGCCTTTAAAGTGACAAGTACATTTTAATTAGGTTATCTTTCCATTAATAATACAGGTTTCCCCTGCTATCTGAAAGTAGAACGTTTCTGTGAAAGCTGAAATGGTACAAAGCGAAGCAATTACCTTAGGACACATCTTGCTAACAGATGCACAGAATAAATCAAGATAAAGCACGGATGCTCACAGACACAGTTCAAAGCTACGGTCGCTAGGTGCTGAGGCTTCGAGTGTGGTTCCCAGGAAGGAGCTCAGTGGGGCCACTCTTACTGCTTGGGGTGCGCACTGCCTCTGTCACAGCTCGCTGCAAAACCAACATCGAACGCTATTTTCACCTTTTTTCATAAAGTGAAAACCCTCCTCAGATTTCTTTTAGTTAATGAAAACAGATGCTAATGTATGGTTGTCACTTGGTATTCGTGGAGGATTGGTCCAGGACCCCTGCAGATACCGAAATCCATAGATGGTCAAGTCCCTTGTGTAAAATGGCATAGTACTTGCATGTAACCTACGCATATCCTCCTGTATACTTTAAATCACCTCTAGATTACTTTTAATACCTAAAACAATGTAAATGCTGCGTACAATGTAAATAGTTGTAAATACAATGTAAATGCCTTTTAAATGTTGCTGTTTAAATGTTTAATTGGTGTGTGGCAAATTCAAATTTTGCTTTGGGGAACTTTCTGGAATTTTTTCTTCCTTAATATTTTCAATCCACGGTTGGTTGAATTCTTGGATGTGGAAACTGCAGATTCGGAGGGCCGACTGTGGGTCTTTCATCAAAGGGAAATGGTGTAAAGCAAACTTCCGAAAAGTGGGGGACACCTGCGCACAAAATGCAGTTGCAGCGTGGCTGCACACAAAATGCAGATTATCAGCATGGCTGTTGCCAGGAAGTGTCCACTACAGCAGAGCAGGGCCACCCACAGACAGCGCTGCAATGAATGGACCCACTCTTATTTTTACTGAAGCTCAGAAAGGGCTTGTTGGGGGGTGGGGCAACATTTTTTTGTCTTTTTGTTTTTCCCCCTTGGAGTGGAAAAGCCGGGCAAGCCAGAGCCAGGAATTAGATGCGGGAACCCAGACTCCAAACTAGAGTTTCCTGGCCTCCGCCCTGGGCTGTCCGTGTGGAATCTGGAGTGGACCCAGGGACAGGCCCCTGAGCATCCTCTGTCTTGTCTCTGCTCAGCTTCCCGCGCGGCCTGTGACCCGTGGAAGGAGAGCGGCGACGTGTCGGACAGTGGCAGTAGCACCACCAGCGGGCACTGGAGTGGGAGCAGCGGCGTCTCCACCCCCTCGCCCCCCCACCCCCAGGCCAGCCCCAAGTATTTGGGGGATGCCTTTGGCTCTCCCCAAACTGATAACGGATTTGAGACCGACCCGGACGCTTTCCTGTTGGATGAACCAGCTCCCCGCAAAAGAAAGGTACGCGGCGTGAGCGGGGAGGTCAGCCATGGAGGGGACGGGCCCCGGGTCCTGGGCCTTCTCAGGCTCCATCCCATTCCAGCTTTCCTTTGCTGCTTCTCTTTCCTCCTGGCATTCCAAGGAGCCTGCCCCTCCTCTCCAACCCCACGTCCTTGGCCTTCTCACCTCTGCCCCAGCCCTGCCTTCGTTCCTGCTCTCCTGCAGAGGCCTCCGGCAGGCCTTCCTTCCTCCCCAACAACCATCCCCACTCCAGGCGCCGATGCCGGCCCCTGGGACCAGCTGCCGAGTCCAGGCTCTGTGCCCCTGCTTGTCAGTGTCTCTGGTCCCTGGGAAACCCTTTCCTCGGCCTTCTGCTGGGTTCTGTTCGAAGGCAGCTAAAGCCCCCACTGGGTGAGGCCGGGAGGGGGCTGAAGGGGGAGGACACGTCCCCCTTACCACGTCTTCCTTTCCCCCAGAACTCGGTGAAGGTGATGTACAAGTGCCTGTGGCCCAACTGTGGCAAAGTCCTGCGCTCCATCGTGGGCATCAAGCGCCACGTCAAAGCCCTCCACCTGGGGTAGGTACGAGCCCAGGGCCCCTCTGCCGAGGGTGCCGTTCAGGCATCCTCCACCTGCCGATTCCCCAAGACCCACAGTCCCGAGTGCCTCTGAGAAACTGGCCGGCTGAGGACGCCACCTGTCCCTGGCCTTGTGCCCTGCAAAACAGTCCCTTGGAAAGAGATCTTTGCCGGGAAGGAGGCCCCTCCTGCAGTAGTGGATGTTGATGCTGTTGATGGGAAGGGAGCTCTCTCCACCTTGCTGTTGCGTCTTCTCACCTCACCGTAGGAAGGAAGGTGTTTCAGTTCTGGACAGATAGGGGGCGACTGGTGAGAGCTTGTTGCTTCCCCTGGGGAAGCCAGGCCTCCCTTTGCACTGACCCCGTGGAGCTGGGGCAGCTTATGGCCAAGGAAACTGACTCAGAGCCCTTTCCCGGAAGGAGAGCAACTGCGAGTGGGTGGGGCCCGGAGAGGACCCGGGGCGGAGATCAGAGTCAGATCTTGTGGGAAGAGAAGCCTTCAGTGATGGGGAAAACAGTTCCTGTTGATGGGCCAGCACGTAACCCGCTGTGAGCCCCCGTCAGGAGCAGGGCTCCTGGGTGTGCTGCTGGCCTTCTTCCCAGACTCGCCAGGTGGCCCTGGGCAACTGGTCCCCTCGTGCCTCACTCTCCCCTGTGTTTGGACCAAGGCAGCGTGTCCCTGGTCACCCGTGCGTCTCCCTCCCACGCAGGGACACCGTGGACTCCGACCAGTTCAAGCGGGAGGAGGATTTCTACTACACAGAGGTGCAGATGAAGGAGGAAGCTACTGCCGCTGGTGGCTCCACCGTCGACCCGGCTCCCGCCCCCAGCGTGGCCAGCCCGCCCCTTGCCGTTCTCCCTCCGCCTCCTCCCAAAGCCCAGTCCTCAGGCCCAGATCACCCTGGCCTGGAGTCCTACCTGCCCTCTGGTGCTCTCAGCAAGTCAGCTCCTGGCTCCTTCTGGCACATTCAGGCCGACCATGCATACCAGGTATAGGGTGGGGACCTGCTGGGAGCTCAGTCTGGTGGCTGTGAGGGCTTTCAGCGTCTGACTGTCACTGGTCAGCCTGATCACAGGCCACTGACCACCCCGGCTGAAGGCTGAGTCCTTTGGCTGCATTACTAATCTCTGACTTCTACAAAGAAGAAAAGACAAATGACTTCACACTCGAGAAATATGGGGATTCCAGAGTTCTACCTCAGTGGCCGTCGTGAGTGGTTATGAGAAATCTGGATGAATCCCTGGGTAACCAGGCTGATGGATTTGGGCTGGGGAATTGGTACATCGCTGGCTATAAAAGGGGATAGAATAGTGTAGTTGGGTTTCCCAAAGCAAATACCCAGTTCCCAGAATTGTGTCAAAGTATCTTACTGGAGGCATAAGAAATTGTTGCGGGTACAGGAAAGACCAAGCTGCTATGCCTATGGGGTTGGTAAAGCTGTCATGGAGGGAGTGGCATTAGGATGGACTTTACTGCATGTAGTAGGTACTGAACACCCTGCTTGCCACAACGTGTCCGTTTTTCTTAAAATCCTTGTATGCCTACAGCTTGGTTTTATCCGACTCTAGGCTGATTTGCAAGTTTGTAATTAAAAAGCAGTGTTTTCCATCAGAAAGCCTTTACAGATCGAGCCAGCTCTTCTGCTCATTAGAATGAGTGGCCGCTTAGCTATTTCATGTTGGGCCAACTTCAGGTGGCCCTTTGGGCAGCCGGCCAGCTCTGTGAGATGGGGCCCTGAGAGGGCGGCTGGTGTTTTTACAAACAACCCTCAACCTGGACATGCCGCTTCCACGCGGTTGCCTGGGGACGCCAGACCCTTAGCGCAGCCCCAGAAGCTCCCACTCGGAAGGCTTTTGGACTTCGTGGGGGAAACTGCCTCGAGCGTGTTCTCGGTGGGTGATCCAGCCAAGAAGTTAATCCGCTAATGAGATGATTAAGTCATGAGGCTGGCATGTACACCAGCTCCTAGAGAAGGGCTCCAAAAGAAGAATGGAGCCTGAGACTCAGGCGACCCCACAGTCAGTACTCTCATATTTCTCTTTGGAAGAGCATTTCGGGGTGTCCCAGAATTTCCTAGTCCGAGGTGCACCTGCTGCTGCAGACCGTGAGGTCACGGGGGGAGGACTGGGCCCCGAAAGCTTCCTGAGCTGTGGCCCACGCTGACGCTCTCTGATCTCCGGCAGGCCCTGCCGTCCTTCCAGATCCCCGTCTCACCGCACATCTACACCAGTATTAGCTGGGCCACTGCCCCCTCTACAGCCTCCTCCCTCTCTCCGGTGAGTGTGCCCAGCTCTGAGCCCGTCAGCACTTCCAGGGACCCGGTGCCGGAGGCCGCCTCCCCGCGCACGCCTCCTGTGCCCCAGCTTCTCAGAGGTCTGTGTGCCCTCGCCCCCCAGCTCGCCCCCCCCCAACCCCCAGCGGGTCACAGGCTCCCGTAGAAGGTGGGAGGGGCGCACCTGCAGAGGAGCACCCAGATTGAGCAAGTTGATTGCCAAGAGGATCACGGGGCCAGGCGGGGTCCGCGCCCTATTTAGCCGTGAGCGTCTGTGCGTGCTTGGTAAGGTTTTAATGCTGAGAGGAGAAGGGAGAGAACGTGGGAAAGCTGGAGAGGAAGAGGGCGGGTGAGAAAGGAGAGAGGAGCTTGTGGGTGGCTGTGCGGGTGGATCAGAGGTCCCCAGGCCACTGGGGACCAGCGCCCTAGATGGCTTGCCTCTGAACTGAAATAAACTGGAAGTCCTTTGGAACCATGCTTGGTGGGTTCCAGTCTGAAACATCCCCTGCAGGGAGGCGTCACACGTTGTGAAACGTGCCTTGGAGGTGCCGTTGAGGAAGGGCCGCACTTCTCTTTGCCCCACATATGGTGGCTCCATCCAGATCTGCAGGGAGCAGGCCGCAAGGTGGCCAGGCCAAGTGGCTCTCCCTTTCCCGTGGCCCCTACTCCCAGCGGGCGAGTGGCTTTCCAGGCTGGCTCGCCCCTCTCCCCCTCCCCTCCCTCGCTGGTTCCCGCTCACCTCTGCCCGGAATGTCCTTCCAGAGAAGGCCTCCTGGCACAAGGCGGCTGTGGTCGGCTGTCCCTGGGGATGGTCCTCTCGCCTTGCACGTCTGCCCTCGTGCTCACGGCCCCTCCCCACCCCGCGCCCAGGTCCGGAGCCGGTCGCTCAGCTTCAGCGAGCCCCAGCAGCCTCCACCCGCCATGAAATCTCACCTGATTGTCACTTCTTCAGCCCGGGCCCAGAGCAGCACCAGGTGAGAGCGTCTGCCCCCGTGGCCTCACTTCTGGCTTCGGTCCCCGCCCGACCCTCGTCCCCAGGGTCCGTCCCAGGGAACCACCCTGGGTGCGGGGGAGAGGCAGCTGGTCCTCCGGTCCCGGGGGCTCCCACCCTTTCCCACCACCGCTTCTGGCTCAGCCTCGGGCCTGGCCGCGCTCCAGCCAGTGCGTGACTGTCCCCTCGTTGCTCCGTCTTGCAGGAAAGCCCGCGGGGAGGCTAAGAAGTGCCGCAAGGTGTACGGCATCGAGCACCGGGACCAGTGGTGCACAGCCTGCCGCTGGAAGAAGGCCTGCCAGCGCTTCCTGGACTGAGCTGTCCCGCAGCCCTGCCCGACGGCCAGAGGACAAAGGCAGACGCCTCCTAAGCCCTCAGCAGAAACCTAAAAGCTAAAGCGTGGACGTTGGGAGTTTGGGCTCTATTGGCTAAGGTTTAATACTTAAAACGTTTTTCCCTCCCTCACGGGAACGTTTTATTTAAAAGAAAAGAAAAGAAAGAAAGAAACCACGAAAATATTTTTTTCCCCCTAAAATAGAAGAGAGCCAAAGCTGACCAAGGGTATATTCTGCAGCGAACCAGAGACCAAAGAACTGATTCCGCTCCCCTCCCCCCGCCCGCCTCCCTAGGGGATTAGTTTGTACGTAAAGAAAGAAGGAACAGCTCATTCTGTTT